ACGCAATCACAGTAGCCGCCGCGGCCTTGCGAGCCCTTTCCCCATCATCTGCATCTCGGCGTCTCTGTGGAACCGCTTGAAGACGATCCTGATGGGATCTCCCCGCCCCGCCCCATCAGCGGTAGGTTCTGGGTCGGTACCGGCGTCTGTAATTGATCCCTATGGGTATTCCGGGTACATCCAAACAGCGCATTGAACAGAATCCCCGCGAAGAAGACAGCTGCTTGGCCACGGCAGACATGCAGAGAGATGGGAAGACGAAGACCCCCTTGTTGCTCACCATTCATTTCTCTTTCAAGCTGGCTTTTTTTTTTTTTTACAGGCAGCCAAGTCAGCACAGCTCATCCTCCATTTGGTGGACTTGGGGGAAGACATTAGAGTGTTAGCAAGGGGGCAAGAGGGAGATGCACCAAGAATTTAAAAAAAAAAAAAAAGTGCTGTCTCCTCATGTTGAGAGAGAAAACGTTTGGATTGATGCTCTAAGTGGGGAGTATTACTTCAGTCCCCCCTGGCCGCTGAAACAGTGTAAAGAGCTGGCGTTTCCAACCCAAATTGCCCATCATGATGTGTTTCGGCTGTTTAGATTTGGCAAAAGCAGATAATTGATTTCATAAAGGAGCAATTGATTGATGGCTGGCGCCGACGCTGCAAGCAGCTGCCTTGACTCCGACGAGCAGGCAGCTGCAAAAGAAACACGAGGCCGACGGACCATTATGTTCATTGTTACAACGATAGCTGCTTTTTTTTGCTTCTCCGAGTGTCACAAAATGGGAGAGTAATTAGACACCGTACTTACTATGAAGAGATAAATGTGAGCTGTCGGGTATTACAATTTAAATGACATTGGCCGCTCATAATTTGGACGATTTGGCAAGTCGAATGCAAAAGGGGGGAAAAAAAAAAAAAAAATCATGTCCATAATTCCAACATGAATGATATCAAGAACATATCTGGCAGGACCACAATCATGAACTCATGTCGCATAAACGACAAAATGATTCAGGACAAACCAACCACCAAGACGTGTTCATCAATCGCATTGGCATACTCGCTGAAATTACACGACCGCATCACGTATGGACACAAACGGCATCCGGTCATCAAAACTGTCAAGTCATGCGGTTCCTGGTCTGTAAAGTTGTACCTTGTCCGGAACTATGTCCTAATCATGCAACTCGACTCTCCCAAACCGTTTGACAAAAACCGAAAAAATTGCGTTTGAGTTCCCACTTTACAAATACACACAGCGAACGTAAAAACAAATCAAAGTTCGGCTCTCTTTTGAGTTAGTTCTTTAATTCCCTCCCTCTCTGCCTTTTTGCGAGCACAACAACTCCCTCAACCATTTTTCTCCTTCGCTTTGCAACAGTTGTGAAGGCGCTTAAATGTGACACTTTGATAAGCCAGTCTAATAATACGGCGAGAAAAACAACAACACACTCCTGATTACATTACAATTTTTTTTTTTAACAACATTTTGCCTTCCAAGTTTGACTCCCACACGTCTATAGTGCATTTCATTAGCAAAGCAAGAAAACAGAACGTGGTGGTGGTGATCATGTGACCGTGTCGAAGTCTAGACAGAGCAAAACAACACATCGTCACCCATACCTCTGCCCTTTTTTTTTCCCCACCTCCCCCCAGGCTCTATGACGCGACAAGACTCTCCCTCCACATTCTTGCACTAAGGAGAACATTGACGACCCCCTTGACACCACCCGCCACCGCCACTTTACCGCCACTATCACGAGTCCGCCCGTTCCCTGGAAGCCGTCCATCCTGCACCGTGGTCCTCATGGCGGCACAAAGGTACCAAAATAGCCCTTTGATTGCATCCCTCCGGAATACACTTGATGGCCAAATAAAAGTAATCCATCCAAAACACCTCGGAGCAATATCATCAAATTTAATTGATCACAAATCCCTCCCCCCCAAGTGCCAACAAGAGAAACGACGGCGACATGCCGATGCACGGGAATCCAGAAATGTAACTGAAACAACCGTCTGCTTGTTAGAGATCCTTATTTTTGCTTCTTTTGTTTTTTTTTTTTTAGCCCACCCCTCCCCCCCCCCCCCCCCCCCCCCCCCAGCGTGCGTTAAGCTACCGCAAATCCACGCGTGTGCTACAATACACGACGGCTCCATCTGCGTTGTGCAGCTCGTTTCCCGCTCTTGCCTTGGCATGCCTAAAGCCTCGCGAGCCCTCGCTACGATGGCGTCTGTGAGTCCGAATTTTAAAAAAAAATGAGGCGCCAGACAGGGGCCGGTATTAATGCACGTTACTGGGACGGCGGAGTAGCCACATGGACATTTTTTAACTTACAGCGCAATAAAAGAGATTAGGGCAAAGTCGTAAAAGTGCCCATTCGCGTTGAGCTTCAGAAAAGCAGGTTTCTCTCCCAGTCGATATTCCTGGCAGTTTTATGATTTGCTTTTAAGAGAAAATCTGATCCCGCTGTGTCTTTCCCATCTCGACAGTGAGCCCCCTTGGTAGATTGTCAGCTAAAAATAGACATGGAAGGAATCCATGCTCAGACACTTGCACAGTACGTCATAGAGAAGATTAGTTTAGCACCGGTTAAGGGAGACCAAAATGCAATTAGAACAAGGGGCCCCATAAAAAAAAAAAAAAAAAAAAAAGGCCAATGAGATAACTTCTGCTACAAGACAAGTTCTTTGTATCAGAGACAAATTAGTGCAGTTGTTCCCCCAGGTCACAAATCGGCGGGATGCCATTGTGGATCTGGTGTAATGTAGCCTCTTGAGAGCGAGCTTTTCCAATCACATTGTACTTCGCAGTTAGCAAAGACTGATGTTTCATGTTCTGCGGAAACGTACCAAAAAAAAAAAGGCTTGATCATGACCTAACTTGGCAGATAGCTGCACGTGGGATGGGCTCGAGCGTCTGGTTGCCCGCGCCGACTGCGTACACACGCGCGTGAACATTTTTTGCTGCTTCGGGCGTTTAACGAGCCGTTTCCCACCGCTCATTAACCTGTGGCGCATTGCTAACCTGCAGGATGAATATTCATCGGGCATGCTTTGGTGGGCGGGAGACGCAACCAGACCGCCACTGTTACAAAGACAAAAGAGCAATCACTAAAAAGCAAAAATGTATAGATTATATATAGTACACAATTACACACACACACACACACGCAAAAATCGTTAAAAAAAAAAAAAAGTTTAGAACCCATTGACTTAATTCGGTGTTGGCGGTAACCAAGTGGATGCGCTTTCTTTCATGCGTCCGCTAACACGTTTAGCGCGGGTCCGTGTGCGCTGACATTTTCCGAGGGAGTCGGCCAGAGTACGCGCGCGGAGGAAATGTCAAGTCGCGGCCATATGTTGCCGCAAATTTGCTTTCCATCCCAGCTGGAGAGTGACTGCATATGTATTATGAATAGAGTTGTCTTTAGCGCCGACAAATGCGCCTGTGTTCACCTTCGCTCCAATGCACAAGTAAAGCGCATATAGAGGGGCAGAACGTGTGAACAAATGTACCGTGTCCTTCGCTACGCTCTGCTGTGCCTCGAGACAGGAAGATGTACCATACGTCGTGATGTGCGTGGAATCCGATGTTTTCCTCTTCCTTGGATGAATATCGATATGTATTGAGTGGAATGCCCGGGAGCCAGAGTGCACAAATTACACGTAAACACCCATGGATTATTTACGTTCGGCTGCAGCCACTGCTCTTGTCGATGGCTTCAAGTTTGTCAGTCACTCTCCAGCTGGACTTCATCGCTCTCACACTCCCTCGGCTCGCCATTCCCGCATGCACGAGAATGGCATCTAGTCGTTCGCATTAAGATATAAAATAGCAGTTTCCTGATAAACCCGAGGTAATAATCACCTGGGAATTTTATTCATCGGGCAAATTCGTCTGATATTCATCTGACATTGGTTCCTCTTTTAATAGGAGACTTGCATTTCCCCGAGATGAGATTTGTGTGTGAGGGAGATTTATGGAAGGCGGTTTGCCAGTTGTGTGCATGTGTGTTTGTGAGAGAGCAAGTAAGAGCGAAAGAGGGGCATTGTGGGAATAGAAGAAAATGACCATGGTCGACCGTGTCGTCTAACTATGTGGTGGTGGTTTACAAAAAAAACAAGATCGTTTCAGCGCTCGCCATTTACATTCCGTTTCAGTGCGGCATCCTTGACTGCAATTGTAGCATTTCCCAGTGGGGCTGCCAGTACCGGCTGCAGTCATCCCCTGCTACTCGGAGCTAAAAATGTTTCGAGTTGCCGATACCTGTCTGAATAGTTTCATCTCGCAATGCTTCCCAAAAACATTCAATATCATTTCAAAGGGAAACTCATCTGACAACATTAACCTTAAATGCGGCCATTCTCCTGCACTACGCCATCTAATACAGTCGCGACCACCAATTTGCTTAGCATAGTGTCAGAGATCAATACTGAGTCGCTCTGCACCCGACACCCGATTCTTGCGTGGCCCGTTCCATTCAAGTTCATTATTATTACATTCAAGCCCCAGCGGCAGTGCCAAAATCTTGGGACAGCGACGCTATCATTTTGGCTGCGTGGCAACTGCGAGCAGCCAGATGGTTTGTGGACGCGTCCAGGTTTGTCTTTTTGCCCTAGGAGTAATTGTTTCCCCGAGAGAGTCACTATGTTCATGTCTACTTGGAGGAGAATAAATACAAGTTGGAAAGGAAACCGGAAGGAACAAATCCAGTTTGCAATTTTCAGGAGTAGTTCATAGTTTTTGGTCAGCGGCACGGCAGAATTACAGAGGTCTTATTTCATGAGCCGTTACATTTTGTCACAAATCCATGAAAGGTTTGGACATGTTCAAAATTTGTTTGCAGGAAGAGAAATATCTTTGCGACCGTGAACGAATCCCGACGAAAATAAAAAGAACAACAACAACAACAACATTCACTACGTCTGCAGACACATGCAAACCTTCGCCGTTCACTGAGATGTGAGCATTACTGTATAGGGTCACAAACCGCTCCTTATCGGGCACTTACTGTAGCGTTTGCTGAGCCGCTAGCTGCTACAAGATGATCACCATGGTAACCTCCAGTGCCAACGGTTGATCTGGACCTTTCTCTGCATCAGTTTGAAGTTCATCACACTGCTTCTTCAGCATCAATCACACAGGGAGCTTCGCCGAGCTGCCTGCCTACTGGCATTGTGCGTAGTCATCAAACACTGCGAAAACAAAAAAGGAAAACAATCCGTTCACCAGTTCCAAGATCAAGATAAAACACTGTGAAACAAACAAACTGTATTTTTACAAGAAAATCACCTCATTCTGCTTGCCAAGGGAGCTAATCTGAGAACACTTCTGTTTTGTTTTCAGTAAAATTCATCAAGTTCAGGGCCATCAAAGCCTTGACTTCCTCCAGGCAGGACAAAAGTGGCCTTAAGGACAAAGTGTTCATTTTCCTCAGCGGTACACAGAACTAACTGTCAGCCACATAGCAGTGAAAAGAAATGGCTAGTTTTCTGAGGGGGGTGTAGCTAAAACCATGAAAATACCAGCGGCCCCTAAATTGAACCCTGTGGAACACCATTATACAATGGGGCAGAGTGGGACTCAGACCAACCGAGGCTGTCACAAAAAGTTGTATCTGCCAAATAGGATATAAACCACCAATGGCCACCTGGTGCGGCAAACGAGCCAACAGCAGAATGCCACCGCAGTTGTCAGGGGCATTTGTAGCACACGATGCGATACAGTACTCATCATACTGTACAGTCAACCCAGTTTTTTGCATCAAGGTACATTTAAAGATTTTGCTGGAAAGTCAAAACACTCCACTTGACTGTGCTAACGCAAGCTCTTGTTTGCTCTGCTCTTCATCCTTTGGCGCAGGTCTCGTAACACCAAAAGAGCACGAAAAAGGGAGCGTTTGCGGGAATCCCCCCCCCCCCTCCACCACCACCACCCTTCCCCCCTCCAGGACAGTGGGTCAATGGCTCGCAGTAAAACACTGTTCCTTGCGAGCAACCCCGCAGGCTTTCCGACTTCTCCCACCCAGTGCGTGTCGTTTGGGTCAACATGATCGCCTGCTCTCCACTTCTGCCTGCTCCGTCCAATTAGCAGCTTTTGCCTGTCGCTGCGGCGGGTCGGACTCCTGCGAAATGTCAGGGGAGATCTGCGCCCCCATCCGAAGTCCTCGGAACTGCTTTGAAGATGAGAATTCCCCGCATTTCTAGAACATCAGCGGGGGCGCTAGGATCCTTTGGCGAAGTGAGCGCTCTCTGCTGAAAATAGGCCTTCTGCTGGAGCAGACCTCCCGTATTTTTTATAGACCAAAGAGCTAAAGAACAAATGCGAGCGGAGTGGCCCAAGTGGACCCTCGCTGCTTGTGTCCCCACCAAGAGAGCCGTGGACACCTTGCGTTGACCGGCATCCGCACGGATCAGAGGAGTGCTTTTGACCATTTCCTGACTTTTCTTTCCTCGGACTGAGCCCAACACCGTACTTCGGAACTGGAGATATAGGTACTACATACGTATAACTGTGTATCGAGAATTAAAAAAAAAAAAAGAAAAAAGAATTTAGATGCGACGGTCGGGCCAGCTGGCATTGTGTTGGCGAAGGAGAAACAAAAACACGAATGAAAAGACGGCGTAAAGAAATGTCATTAAATGTATTTTGAAAGGCCCTAAAAGTTATATATTTAACAGTTTTTATATGTTGTACCTTTGTAGAGAAGCTTATTGGACTTGTGGTCACAATGACAATTAGGATGTGAACAAACGCTGTTGTTCTCATTACCGCTGGCGCTCGTCGTCTTGGGTTTTTTCCGTTCACAAGCTCACTAGCTGCTTTCTTTTCATGCTCATTACCAAGTCACTGTCCAGCGCAAAAAAAAAAAAAAAAAAAGGAAATCCTGAGGACTGACCCTGCCGCCGACTCAACATTGTAAGTGTCTAGTAGTCAGTGGAAGCCATTCAAGACTGCTAATTTGCTATGATATTGTATTGTACACAATGTGGAATACTGACCCTTTTCCTCTCGAAGGCTTTTGATCTCTTAATTTATTTCCGTGCGCGCGATGGTCGGCGCGACGTTTCGGCCTCCCTGTCGGATTTGGCGAGCGGAACGAGGGGATTGAACAAGAGAGCAGCGGAGATATGACCGTCATTGACATACAGTACTTTTTTTAAACTCATGAAATATTTTAAGAATAAATTAAATACAATGGAGAAAAAAAAAACGTCCCTTGAAAATGTAGGTGGTGTTTTATCCATATGCTCTTTAAATGGAGTCCCACAGGGTCACTGAACTCATCTGTTTCGAGCACGGTGGCCAAGACGTGAAGACCAAGTTTTCATGTGGGGAAAAAAAAACGACAAGAAATCAGTTGCCGTGGGAACCAAATCATACAGGCTGTATTTGCATTCTAATTTTCAGTGTCTGCGGGTTCCATATTCGGCACGATTGTGACAAAACAAGTCATAAAAATGAACTGTCATTGCTAATGTGATGTCATTATCACAAGCGGCCGTGACTATTTAATTTCTGAGCGTCTTTGTGATCGGTGATCCTCTCACGGCCGGTTTGGCGCATATTTATGGTCTGCTCCTGTGCGGCGGCGTGGCAAAGGCGCGCAATGACAAATTCTACCCATTCTTTTATGCGACGACGACGAGCACTGTCACGGGTTTGAGGACCATTGAGACGACTTGAGCGTTTGACACAATAATTATCACTGTACACCCTGTGGTTGGGCTGCATTGCCCCCCCCCCCCCACACAAAAATAAGCTCTGGATGAACCAGAAAGTGACATAGCCCAAAAAATTGATTAATGTAGTTATTTCTGGATATGGTAATTGTGTAGCATCATTACAGCAGTACACAATGTATAGACACAGGAATATTATTTTTTAATAAGTGGCCACGTTACCTTGAGCTTTTTTGGGGTTTTTTTTTTCCCCTGACAGCATGCATTCCAGCAAGCGTTTTGACGATGAAGCAGACAAATTGAGAAGGATCCCCATGGAGGTTAATCTGGTGCCTGATTAGTCCATTTGAAGTCAGTCCTAATTTTTGCATTCATTTGAATCACATTTTTAGGATTTTTTTTTCTCCCCCATTCAGCAGGTTCCTGCTCGCGACCCTGAGACTTTTTTTTCCTGGGTTAACATGAATGTACCACTGTTGACAGATTTGGCATCCAATTCATAGTTCACACTAGGAGTCTTTCTTTTAAGTATGAATTTGATTGAAGTACAGAGAAAGTGGATCGATCGACAATATGGCCGACGCAGTTGCTTATCTAAGGATGTGGCCCCACCCCCCGCCGCCTCCCAGCTGCTATAGAAATAATTACAATAATCAGTCATGGTTGCGGCAACAAAGTAATGCGTGCTTTCATGTGGATTCTTTCTATGAGTTGTTTATTTTCTCGATCAACAGGTTAAAGGTTCACAGAGCGCACAGGCGCAGGAGCTGCCGAGTCGACACTGAAGGTTTGTATGGGAAGGTTGTCGTCGTTGTGACAGCACGCTCGTTTTCAACGGTGCTTTTTATTTGGCTCCTATGCCATAAACAACTTTTGACTAAGTTGCAAGAGCAGAGTTTGAGGCGAGCAGGCTGGGTGCATAAGCACTGTTAAAAAAATATATATGTACTAACAAAACAAAACCTACACATTCTTCGATATTGAAAGAGTTTTGGAAATATATATACACACACACACACACACACACACACACACACACACACACACACAAAGAAAAAGACCTGCCTGATGACATACTGATCAGTAATCAAGACATACGTAAATTTAACCGCAGGCCCGCTCCGTCTCCCCCCGACAGGGTTGACAGCTGGCAACCAGCCTGACACACAAGACCACGGAATGAGGATGAAGAAAAAAAATGACCAGCTTTTCACCAGCTCCTTTAAAAACTCATTTTACATGCTGTCACCTTTCATTACGGCTGCCGACCCGCGCCGGGGGCCCCGCAGGACGGCGCGGCGCCCGGGCAAAAAAAACCCACCCCCTATCACCCCACATGGTGCACACTCCACTCATAAAAGAAGGTGATTATCAAAGTGCCTGATTCCCCACTTTTGCCTCTTTGAAAAAATTAATCCACTCTCGACGTGCACCTCCGAGCGTCAGCGAAGAAGATAAGGTTGCTTGCTAAATGCTCAGCCTTGAAGACATCTTTTGGAGAAGCGCACTGTTTTATTTACCTTCGATTTTGTGCCAGAACACAAATCAGCCCACTCAAATGAAATAGTATTTTACACGTCATTAGATGTTAAATGATAGCCACCCTTCGGTTTGGGGAGGGAGGGAAGCTAGCGTGAGGGCGCGCGCGTGTTCATTAGCCTAGCAGCGGGCTTCAGAGTGCGTGCACTCGGCGGCTTCCTGCTCCCATGAGGCACCTGCTGAGAGCATCTTGCCGATACATTAAAAATGGGCTTTTAGTACCAGCGGCAGCGCGTCAAAGCTGCGTCGTGTACAGTTTGGCTACAAATGAAACGGCCTCCAATATCGATCAGTCGTCGCGTCATTTTAGCGCCATCGGCACCCGGCTGCTGTCATAAAATGCGGTGGGACGTTTTACTGACCGTATCGCGGCTAGCGTGTTTTGTCGTATGACTTTTAGAATTCATGCTTGCATTTTTTTTTTTTTTTAAATTACAGACTAACAAAAACGCATTACGCATTAGCGTGAAGGGTCTGTCGTCCGTTTTATGTTCTCCGAATGTACGTCATGTTTCTCGTTGCCTTCGTAATTGCGTTTCGCGGCCTTGTTTCACCATGCGGAAAAATTCAAATCACTCCTTGATTCACTTAAGCACAAGCTCTCCACCTTCTGGACACATGGTGGCTGCCTGCTCATTCGGTGCAATCTGTTTTTCATCTTAATTTGACAGCCCAGGGTTTCTCAGTCAGTCAAAATAACACAGTGCAGACATACAGTATCATCATCATCATCATCATCATCATCTTAGACTCCTCTGCCAAAGACATGACCGTACAACTATTTTCGTTCCTATCCTGGAGTGTACATCTCAATCACTCTGACTTGGGATGGCTTTCTACTTGAATGCTCCGAGGGCTATCATCCCTTTGGGTGAAAACGATAAAGCAGACACGTTCCCGGGTTGACGGCGGGGCTTTTTGAGCTGGCGGTGAATATCTGGGATTATTCTTGATGCACTATTCATTGGCCTTTCGTGCTGCCCTCATCAATTTATTTACACTGCCCCCCCCCGCCCCTCCAAAGACCAGGTGGGAAATGATGGACTTGCACTTATTGAGCCCAGGCACCTTGATAATGGAGTGAGGCTGAAGCGATTAGCGCTCTAACAGCTTCACACCAAGATGACCGCAGTTCTCTCCGGGGAGATCGGACAGCGGGAGACGGGAGGTCGCTTGCGTGTCTGGTGGGTAGAACGACATCAGTTCCAAGGACGTCCACCTCTATGGCCTTTCTGTGACTCTACCAGACTCTCTACATTCCTGCTTGCCTCTGTACTGAAGCCACAGGATGTGCCTTTTGATGAGCACAAGCCTTGCAAGACTCGATTGAGGCTTAACACAACCTGGTGAGGCTAAAAATTCGCCAGCCTCTCCTAGGATTCTTCTCATCTAACCGGGGGGGGGGGCTACAAAAGCGAACGACCAACCACCAGTCAAGTCTTGTGCTACAATGAAACGGGAGCACCGACAGACACGGGTCACGCCCAAGTTTGATTGCCCGATCAATGCAACTTTGTAACAGTCTTGATCGAACTGCCAATAAAGTCCTTGCTAACCTCGTGGGTTTGGTAGTCTCAAAAAAAGTCCTGGCATTTCCAGCCGCCCTCTACTGCCATTGGCCATGAATTATTGATAAGGCGAGTATGAGCGCTGTGTATCTGTCTCATAATGATTAGCGGAAGGGTCACACCGCTCAAGCCTCGAGTCGCCGGCATCCGCCCTTAATCCCCCTTAATCCCCGAAACAATGGGCTGCACCACATAGGAGGGACTGTCGATTTCTATCAGGCCACTCGGAGGGATCAGTCTGCTTTCACACAACAAACACAACAATGATAGTCGTTTAAGGCACGGCACGCTCCTCCGGAAGTAGCGTTTCGGAGAGAAAACACGGCGCGGAATGTGACCCCGTCGGAGAAGAAATGTTACAGATTTATCGAGGAATTAGCTGGTGCGGCCGAGCTAACGTGTTTACCTTGTCTCATCCCACGATTGCTGGCCACCTCAGTTCGTGTTTCATCTGGAAGGATCAAGAGCTGCCTGTTGCACTGAGGGGGGGGGGGGCTTGCTTTTTGCTCGTGGCTTTGGATGACCTGGATGGCTTTGAAGTCCTCGACGCATTCACATTCGATCCCGGATGTGCTACAAGACGGAAAAGGGGATTGAAGGTTTGATGGATCTGCGAGCGATTCCAATCAGCGGTGGGAAATAGCGGCGTGCAAGTACTTTGTTACAGTGCTAAAGTAGTCAACAATTTCTATTTCTGATGACTTTTGGCTTTTGTCTGTGCTTTCTAGTCCCTGGTCAAAATTCTGTATGAAAGCACATTTTGGAGTCACTTCATGAAACCAGTTTAATTCTCTACAGTCTCTTTGATTATATTTTTCGATGTCTATTTGACCGTACAATTCAGATCACGAGGGCTGGAATGGTACAAACGGCTCAAAGCACTTTCGAGACAACACTACTCCCGAGATCTTTCTAGCATTTTGGCGACCTCATTTCGTGCAATGTTTCCAGCCACTAAAAGTTAACTGGCCCGAAGTTTAATTGAATACCCACCACCGCCATTTACAAACCATCAACAAGCTTCTGTGGAGTTTAGCTTACTGGCCACGTCGACTGCGATGCATTCATGCAGAGTTTATCGAGTCATTAGGATTACTTCCCACCTGACTACATTATCCAGCAAATACTGGCAGGCCTTTTGACCCACTTGAAGACATTGAGCGAATACTAGAAAGCTGTATTTCAGCTTCAGGACACCTTCCATCCATTATGATAATCTATTCAGCCAAGCTTATTGCTCAAAAACGGTCCGTAACGCACACAAAATCACCCACAGGGATCAGACGGCATGCGCCGCACGCACAGGCCAAGCGGTGGTTGGATTTTTGGGTTTTGTTTTTTTACACGCCAAACAGACGCACAAAAAAACATTATTTGGCATTTGGTAGCGACATCAGTCTGACGCCTCAGCCGGAGAGTGGATTTAATAGAGCGCGCTCTGATAAAGTCCCAGCAGAGAGCACTTGGTGGCCAGTAGGTTGCTGCGGCAGCTAATTGATCAAAAAGTAAAACCTCGCACGGAAATTGGGGATGGCGTTATCACGGCGAGTCAGCCGCGCTAATAATGAGTTGCACCCAACCCCCCAACCGCATTCTAACGATATTTCCGCTCAGCCTGGGCATGGGGACTTGCGCTTGGGCATAATGACTACAATGATGGTCAAATGTTTACCTTGTACGCAGAGTCGGCACACTGGAGGGTTTTGGGGGTTTTTTTCATGCAAGAACGGAGCAATGATGCAGCTGCACACCATGGACCACGCACCGCCTGTGTTGAGCCACCGTGACCTTGAAAAACAGAAAATATGTCCATTTGTTTTACGGTTGGGGAAACACTGCTTTAATTTTAGCATAGTGACAATAATGTTCATAAAATGACCAAACCATACACAAAAAAATGAATAAAAAACATTGGTTTAATTGACAGAGGCCCAGGCTTGAGGATTTCAGAAATTAACAAATTTTTCGGTTCCGTGGATTGCCCAATGGGAAACCACGGTCACCAATTTTGGGTTCTGTAAATGTTCATCATGAGAACTCATTTGTGTACTATTTATGGAAATAAATATAATACCAATGGCTCCTTTATTAAAACAAAAGCATGTCATAGGAATTTAATGATTACAATCATGTGATGAATCTTTTTTTAAAAATGACCTTATTACGATACGCAGACTTATAGTATCGATATGGCTTGGCGTCCTCTTTGCAACACCACGACGATGCACCGTGCAATCGACTTTCAATTTGACCAAAGAATCTACCACACGTCATCGTTAGGACGACCGACAGTTAACATTAGTATGACTACACCTTGTGACGAATGTTTTATTCATAAAGTTACCATGTCTGCAACTTCAAGTACTTGCCTCCGAATCGCGCCTGGCGTCGTAGTTCTCTTTCGTGTTTTGTGCATACGTCACACGTCAGATCGGTAATACGCCCCTTCTTCGGATGATTCGAAAGAAAAATCCGACTGGCATTCCTATTTCTTAAATGTCGTAACTAATACACCTTTCGGTGTTTTTGTTTTTTTCGCTGTCATCTCCATTCATCATCCAGCTGCTTTCTGCAGGTGCGGACGTCAAACTAGCAACCCGCATGCGCACATAATGTTTCCTGTTCCGCAAAACGAAAGTCGAATAAAAGAAAAACACTCGCACACCACGCCACATACACACATGCAGACACAGTGAAATCGCGTGCAGTCAACTAGTGCTTGGTGATTTTTTTTTTTTTTTTTTTTATGAGAAACGATTTTTCGGTACCGTACAAATGAGCCCACGAAACGACACGCTACCGGAAACGATCATTTTGGGTTCCGGAAACGCACAAGTGATTCTGAAGACATTGGGCAATGCAACACTGAGGCATATGTGATTGCACCCCCCCCCCCACCCCACAAATACATAAATAAAATAACTGAATAAATACTCTATACACACACACACACAGGTACTACAAGCAGTGCAGTCAAGAGAAACACCAACAAATGAAGATAATAGACAATCGAGAATAATATTTACATTTTACTGACAAAAATAATCATAAATGTGAATTATAAATGTAAATGTAGCCTGACAGCCAACTCCCCAAAACAAGCAAATCGGATGGATGATTGAGTGACAGCAATAAATATCGGTGAGGATCGTCCTCATCTGCAATCTCTCCACCCCTCCTCCCCTTTCTCCTCATACGTCCTCGTGCCCACTGTGGCATGACAGGTGACTGACGACGCTAACAACGCCCCGCCCCCCCCCAGCCAGTGCGCAGGCGGCATGATGAATTACCCTCATCAGTTTGTTTCGCCAACAGGCCCACGCAGGTCACCACCAAGGCCGCACGTGACATTTTGTGGCGTACTGTATATGCAAATACCTGCCAATCAATTAGCGCGGCCCCCGTCCTTCGGCTGCGCGGCGGCGCCCATTGTGATTAAAATGAATTGATTGCGAGGCGAAATCAAAACCCGTCGGCCTGCCAAAAAAAAAAAAAAAAAAAAAAAGCCTAGGGGTCACTGGGACGTAAAATGCTATGAGAAATAAAACTGCCCATTATTCTTTATCACAGGCTCATAACTGCTCCAAGTACGGTGAAATGTGCTGAAAATGAGCAATACAAACAGGGTGACACTTTTAAAGGCGGGCTGTTAAAAGATTCCAAAAGCGGATGCTCCAATGCGATACTCGGCGCGTTGTGGAGCCCCATGCTTGTCACGGGCGTCGAGTGTTGACTCAGCCTGCCGCTTTGAGCGGGGCGCGCTCGCAAAACGGATGTCGGTCAGAACCGACGGGCGCTCGAATGAGTCACGCGGCCAAGACGCCGGGCGCCTTTGGGCTCCGTCTCGAGGGCTTAAAAGGCGAAGTAAACACCTGGCTGAGCCAGTGATTAAAGGAGGCGCTTATCATTCCAAGCCATGTCTGCTTACATAAGCACACTTTTGAGCAGGAGGAGTTAACGCGAGGAACCAGGAGGTGTCGTCTTAAACACAAGCGCGCACACGCGTAGCGCACGCACACTCTTATTTGCATTGTTTGAAAGCCGAGCACATTCCAGGAGGCCATCTTATCACTCATCTCGAGGCAGATGGCTGCCCACCCACACCGCAGTTGCCGTCAAATCATCGGCACTGAGTGATGAGGGACAGTTGAGCGTTTCCAGGTAATTACGTGTACTTTCATTCGAGCGAGTACTGGAATTCCGCAGACTGTAAGCGCCGATGCGGTTCTTTCTGCCCGCCATCTGCCGCAACGCTCCGATCGCGCCGCTGTATCCGACGACTGAGATGCTATTGCCCAAGTCCCGAAAGCCTGGAGGTTCACACACACACACACAGGTGGAATCGCAGTGAACAAATAAATGATGTGCTCGGTGATCAAAATTGAGCGTGAGTATAGCGTGTTTGCAACTTGTATTTTACATAGTGAGAAGATGAATATCCATAAAATGACCCTATCAAGAAAAGTCCATTCCAGCTAACGATTGGAACAGCCTCCAAATGTGGACCAGGTGACAAAAGGCGGAGAAAAAAATTAAAATAGAATTTTACATCAAAGCTCTGGGAATATTCCGGATGGAAATTGTCATCTTCAAATTGGGGTGGTGGGGGGGTGAAGGCGGCACACTGTCGCGCACAGCCCATCCATAATTTATAGCACTGCATTGAGCCATAATCTTTGCTCTGCGCGCTAATGAAAGCTGCACTGCTGCATTTTTACAACGGGGGCCATAATGTGGCAAGAGGAGAGCAAATGGCAGCGCGAGCGGGGGGGTGCGAGGTGGCGCACACCTGCCGTTGGCCGTTTTGTCCCATCGGACCCTCGCTGGCGCTTTACTCCAAAAGTCCATCAAATGCCACCGGGGGGGCTGCGGATACAACTCACTCGACTTTTACGGCTTTCAAGAGCAGACGGGGAAAGGCAACACAATCGTTGGGCGAGCGGCGTCGGTTGCGGAACCGGACGCCTTTTCAAAGCGCCGCTTTACTTCAAGCGCCTCCGCGTTGATGTGACAGAATCATTTGCATTAGCCTGAGTGGAACATTATTCACCATCTGCCCCCCCCCACCCCCCACCGCCCACAAAACCCTCCTTTCCTATTTCCGTCCCACTGCCCATCAATTGCGCGGCTCCGGCTCATCGAGTGCAGCCGAGTGCGACCGATGCGCATCGTCGCTCGCGCTCGGGATATTAGTGTAGTCGGCCACAGAGCTCGCAAACACTTGCCCGACCTCACTTGTAAAGAATCGGCATTTTCCACGCATAGAAATATGTCTGCCGGCCCATCTGGGTGTAAACCGTGGAAAGATATCCGGGTTGCGTGAATCTCTACATTTTTCTAGTGCCGAATATCGTTCACCGGAAATATTTTTTTGATTCGAAATACGTGGAGTGAAATTGATTTGATGGGCCACCGCCGGTCTCGCTCCAGGTGTCGGCATTGCTCATGGAGAGTCGCGATTCGACGATGACAAAATACGGTGCTTACGATCTACAGTATTTGAATGTAAAACAGCTATTGAAGGTTGTCTGTGTCTGGTGGTGGTGGGGGGGGGGGGGCGTTGTTGGTGAGGGCCTCATTATTACAGGCAATGCCGTTCAAAGGCTCCCCCTAACACCTCGCCACCTGAGGTTCTCCTCTTGGGTGGTTAATGTCAATCGCCCGGCCGTCGACGGAGGCCGACTTCTGAGGCGGGAGGCTCACCCGTCCGTCTCCTGCCACGAGCTCATGCATTATTCTCGGGCAAATGCCGCTTCCGTTTGAAGGGCTGGAGAGGAGCGCTTTGAAACGCAGACACGGCGGCTTGTAGACAGAGCGCGGGCGAGGACTTGAAACCCGGGGCGAGAGATGACTGACTACCGCGTGCCGCGCGGAGGCTGGACGCTCCTTGTCGAAAGCTACGCTCGGCTTATCGGGTTTTCGGCTCAAGCTCCGACGGTCGTTGGTTTACAAAGAGGACGGATCCCCCCCGACCGGTCCGCCCCCAGGTACAAATAGATGGTCAGAGGAGAATTCCAATCAAAGCGCACCTTGGCTGGAATAATTGTCCGCATGAGAATCGCACACGGGAAGACCTGAACCCCGGGCCTCGAAACTGTGAGGCAGATGTGGTAACCGCTTGGGCGTCATTCATCTGCAAAAAAAAAAAAAAAAAAAAAAAAAAACTGACAAGAATAAATCCAACCGCATCCCAGTTGGACACAACAAAATAAATCTTTTGACAGTCACGGTAGGTTTTTAAAAGCACAGCTGCCTCAGTGTTGAGCACCCACGCATCAAATTAACTGTCCAATAAAACTGTGATAGACTGTTTACCACCTGCCGTTTGTTAGAAAAATAACAAATCGCTCCTCGAAAGGCCCCATCTTCCCGACAGAGTTTTGCCATTTCTTTCAGATTTTAGATATCCGCCAAAAGTTCGCATTTATTTCCATCCCGAAAGCTTTTAGGCCAAGTACTTTCAGTGGAGCGCACCTGACCCGATCACGGCGACCCGCCGGTTCGTCGAGCTCCGCGGCGCTTGGCGGGATACTCGGTCCCCGCAGCAGCTGCGTCCCAATTAGAGAGGCCTGACTTGCGTGCCCCGTATTAACATTCCATTTAGGCTCTCCCCCTGCCCCTCGCCGGGACTCCGCGGCGAGGCGGGTCCGCCGCAGACCGCCGCCGCAGGGCCCTCGGCTAAGACTGCCCGCCAGCCCCGCTAATTGACTCCTGATCCACCGATGGCGCGCAGGTAAGCCCACACCGCATTAGCGCGAATTGAACACCAAGTGCAAAGTGGATGATCGTCTTCACTTCACAGATCTTTTCCCATCGACTGGTGCATGAAACCACTCGAGACCCGGGGCTCGTTTTGCGTCAACACCCCAGAGGATGTCGCGGAGCGTCACGTTTCACATCCCCTAAAATTTAAAAGTGAAATGAAATGTTTCACGATCAAGCAAATACTTCAGATAGATGATTATTATTATTTTTTTTTAAATTATTGTTCTTTTTACAAATACGTACATGTACAGAAATTAATAGCTTTATCGTTACAGGTCAAAGCATTTCACGAATTCACTTGCACGATATTAATATCACCAAATTCCATGACATGAATGGTTTATCTTTCGATGTGGATGAAAGCCAGTGATCACATTTTCGAAGCACGTTTAGTGTAAGCCAAACCTGATCAGACCAACACATTTGAATGTCGATTAATTTGTGACTGGTTTGTTCAAAAAGGGATTGTGCCATTCGACATGTCCGAATAACATGCTCCCGAGTCATGACGTCACAAGCAGACCGCTCGCCGAAAGCTTTTTACGCTCCCGAAAGCAACATTTTCTCACATCACGCCACGTCAGAACCCCCTCCCTCTTCCCAAAACCTGCGGCCGTCCAAATTTTTGTTGCTACCACGAGAGAGCCTGACAGGAAATGGATTGCAGTGCTTTCCCGGCCCAGTAAACAGGTTCCCGCCGCTTGTGAAGCTATAGATGGGTTTGATATAGGATGCTGTTTAACCCAGAAACAACGCCCTGGCCCGCGGGACGGCCCATTCCTCACACCGCGCATCCATCATGCGGGGCAATCTGGAAGCGGGGCTCCCACCCCCCCGAGGGAGGGCCAAGAGGAAAAGGAAGAAAGTGTCGGATCTCACCCATGCGTGGCGGTAACAACAGGCCCGCCTACCGCGTAACCTTCCCCCCACCCCACTTATGGCGTTGAGGTTTTGAAGGCAGTTTTCTGACGGCTTCCGTCATGTTGTGACTGCTAAACAGCGGCGAGAAGATCTGTGGAGGGAGCCGGGCGCCACACTGGGGAAATCTTCTGTTTCGGACTTGAAACACTCAATCGGAGATTGTTGCCGGCGTGCCGGATTGGCGGCGGCTGTGAAGAATCGTCTGTGTTTACCAGCTCATTTTGATGTGCCAGCGCTCGTCACGGCTTTTAGGTGCCACGAGCCCCACTGGCACTCTATTTATTTTATTTTTTTTTAAAGTGCACGGTGGCGCAGCGTGACAACAAAACGCTTATCAAGTCTGCAAACCTTTGAGTGCAGAAAGCCCAGCGTGAAGATCCTTTCAAGAGTCACCTCTAAATTCACTCGTCGGAATTCAGAGATATTTTTAGAACCGATACGCCATTACCAATGTCGTACAATCGCTGCGCTATCAGAGCCATTGGTGACATTTGGGAGTCCTTTCCACTCTCCTCGGGTGGTCCTCAATGGGCGCTTTGCCCGTTATTAAGAGACGCCGCTTTGTCAGGTTGTTAACCTCTCTCCGGTGGGCAGTCTTCTTGTCAGGCCTCTCAATGTCATGTCACGCGCGAACTTCATTACCGATGGGCCATGCTGGAGAGGGAGGAGAGTGTGGCGTTTCCAACAAGTTGTCCAGCGGAGTTTGTTTTTGCCAGGGGACAATTTGGACAGGTAGAGCTGGTCTCTGGAGAAGGTGGGATTTCAACTGATCATTTCTAGTGTTGGCTCTTTGACAAGTGCTATCTAAATGTCAATACGGCACTTGTGTTGTTGCTGCTCTATTGTGCAGACCATCGCAGTTGGTACGCCTCATATTGAAATCTTTTGACCAACGATATGCCAAACTCAACCAAAACTGCAAGGGGGTTAGAATGGTTCCCTGGGAAGCGCCTATTGCTTACTTACTTAAATGCTCCTAGGAATGTCCTCGCACTGATGCTGAATATCATGTATGGTTTGTGATGATTATTTCCTGGAACTCAACATAGGCAATATAATCAACCAAAGGTAACTGATGTCTTTGGTTGGAGGCCATGTGGCTCCAGAACGGAGCACAAGACATCAGATTGGCTGAAAAATGAAGTATGCGCTTGGTTTCCCTAGACCGTCTCTGCCTAAATCCACCTCTTCCACTATGCTCATTAGTGAAATGGATTACTAATGGATTATTAATCTTTGAGGAGGGAGTGTGCAGCGACCCAGCTCTGAACACCTGGAACGCTAACAGTAAATAACAAGCGACTCGGACAACAACACAGCTGCAGTACCCAAAATGCGGTGCGTGCATGCACACGCATCTTTCGGGCTAAAAATAACCTGACCGCTTTGATTTATGGTTGGCCCAATAAATATAACGGATACATCTAATTAGCCGTAATTAATTGTCGCCCCATCTTTCTTTCCCGAGGTTTCGGCCTGCGAGCGTATGGCCTCTCCTCCTATCGCCACCAGTGGCAGATTTCCATCGCAAACAAATGGCACTCGCTCTGTGAAG